ATAATCATATTGAAATCTATTAATTAATATATTTTATTATTTAATTTTTTTAACATATTGTTTATATTAATTAAGATATTATATTATTGATGAATTGTTTTAAATATACTATGAAATGTTAAAAATTATTACTTTTTTTAACATGTATCTTTTTGGTCATTTTACATTTTTCAACTAGCTTATCAGTTAGTTTTGCCAAATGTATTTAGTTCATCAGTATCGGCTACCAACTACTTTCTCAGCCATCAGCTAGTTTATCAAACATAGCCTATATATATATATATATATTCAATCAATAGCATATCACCCTACCTAGCTTCTCCTTCCAGTTAACCTTTTGAGATGTCAAATTTTTTGGTTTCTACTTGTTCATCACCATTAGCACTTGATGAAAATAATAGCACCAAGCAAGATCATGTGATCCGCAATACTGTCACTTTCCATTCTAGCATTTGGGGGGATCAATTTCTTACATATGATGAGGTATCAATTCTATTTATCTTACTAATTAATCCATTATTTTTTAATAAAAATCCCATTAATTAATCTTTTTGCTAATTATGCTTTCAGAAAGATGATTTAGTTGCGGAGAAACAACTTGCTGAAGAGCTCATAGAAGAAACAAGAAAAGAGCTAATCATCACAACTTCGAGCCATGAACCCATACAACATATGAAGCTCATACAACTCATTGATGCAGTCCAACGCCTTGGTGTTGCCTATCATTTTGAAAAGGAGATCGAGGACGCCTTGCAACATGTCTATCGTACATATGGCCATCAGGGGATACACAATAATAACGACCTACAAAGTATTTCCCTTTGGTTCCGAATCCTAAGACAACAAGGCTTCAATGTTTCATCAGGTAATTATATATTTAGTAATTAGTTACAAGTTCGTACATACACAATCTCACCTCATGGATGCTTATTCTTCACAACCTAAATTATATTTTAGCTTCATTTGTCGATCTAAGCTAAATATCAATCGGGTTATCAATATCAATTTACATGCTTACAGTCAAATTATTGCCTATTTTAATTATTTTATGCATTAAAGTACTAAATGCTATCTTTTGGTTTGATAATGTTACAGAAATATTCAAGAATCATATGGACGAGAAGGGGAACTTGTTTAGTAATGACGTTCAAAGCATGCTTGCTTTGTACGAAGCATCGTATATGAGGGTGGAAGGTGAAAAGGTATTGGATGACGCTCTCGAATTCACTAAAACTCACCTTGCCATCATTGCCAAGGATCCGTCTTGCGACTCTTCTTTAAGAACCCAAATACAAGATGCACTAAGGCAACCACTTCGAAAAAGGCTGCCAAGGCTAGAGGCGGTGCGTTACATACCTATCTACCAACAACAATCTTCCCATAATCAGATCTTACTGAAGCTCGCAAAGTTAGATTTTAACATGCTTCAAACAATGCATAAAAAGGAACTTAGCGAAATTTGCAAGTAAGTAGTATTCAGTTAAGTTGTTTATATGTAACTAATTAATTTACAGAGCTTAATCTAGCTAGCTAATTAAGTGGAATTATGAATTGAGTCAAACTAAGACCTCTTGGCTAGCTAGCATGAATCACAAGGCATCTGACATGGTTTAACGTTTGTTGGTTTGATGATTTCTCATTACTCTTGTACGTTTATTGTGTGATTAGATGGTGGAAAGATTTGGACATGCAGAATAAGCTACCATTTGTCCGGGACAGATTGATAGAAGGCTACTTTTGGATATTGGGAATCTATTTTGAGCCTCATCATTCTCGCTCAAGAATGTTCCTAATCAAATCATGCATGTGGTTAGTCGTTATAGATGACACATTTGATAATTATGGTACTTATGAAGAGCTTGAGATCTTTACGGAAGCCGTTGAAAGGTATTGTATTTTCTTTTATCAACCTGGATATCCAACCCGCTATGCGAACCACTAATCCCAGAGCAACCACCCGGAGTCACCGCATTTGAACTTCCGTGTTCATATGGGGATTTTTATTTCTCTTTATATTCGAACCTGGGACCTCTAGACACTTTTAATCTTTGAAGTTCAAGCTCAAACCAATCGAACACCACCCATTGTTCTTATTATTTTGTTCTTATATGCTAAAACATGTGGTGTGCAGATGGTCCATAAACTGCTTGGATATGCTACCGGAATACATGAAATTAATATATAAAGAACTTGTGATTGTTCACCAAGAAATGGAGGAAACACTTGAAAAAGAAGGAAAAGCATATCACATCCACCATGTTAAGGAGCTGGTAATAATTAATTCCACATATGTATGTGTGTATATATATATATGTATGTATATATATATATATGTGTATATATATATATATTTATGTGATTATACAATTGTTATTTATGAATATTAGTCTTTAAATTTTTTTAAATTAATTATGGTATTTACATACAGGCGAAAGAGTGTACCAGAAGCTTGCTAGTAGAAGCCAAATGGTTAAAAGAGGGGTACATGCCGACACTGGATGAATACATCTCTAATTCATTGATAACTTGTGCGTATGCTGTGATGATCGCAAGATCTTATGTTGGTGGAGACGACAAGTTGGTTAATGAGGATTCATTTAAATGGGTGGCCACACATCCTCCTCTAGTCAAAGCTTCATGTTTGATTTTAAGACTTATGGATGATATTGCTACCCACAAGGTATTACTACTATATGTTGACTACATGACGTACATAATTATCGTCATGTATTTGTTTAAGGCATTGTTTGGCAAAAATAAGCTAGCTTATGTGCATCGAACCCAGAAAATAAGCTAGCTTATATGCATCGAACCCAGAAAATAAGCTAGCTTATTGAAACGTTACTTAATATAGTATTTTAGTAGCTTATTGTCACTTTTTCCAATTATAAACCTTCATTAATATTAATTACTATTTATTACAATTAATAACTTATTGTCACTTTTTCCAATTATAACCCTCCGCAATATTAATTACTGTTAATTTTAGATAAATATTAATAAAATTTAAATATTACTAATATTAATAAATATT